CATCAGGGTACTCGTTTGTGCTTGTGATTGAACAGTTAATTGCCATGTTTCTCCAAAGTTGTTATTAGTTCTTGTTTTTGATTTCTAGCACTTGCTTTTGCGGTCGTGAAATTCTGTTTTTTGTTATATCTTTGTTCATTTACGCTGTGATCATGCCAAATCCATGTCTTCGCGTTTTTGCGACCTTCAGGGTAAAACTGAGTTATCTCATTCCAGAGCTCCATTGTAACCGAGGTGTTTGAGAGGATAGTAATAAATGTTTAGTATTTAGGCTTTTTTTTTTATAAGAAATTGTGTTAAGAAGAGCAGGTGAACATATCGGGCGGAAATTAGTGATGTTCCCTAGGGGAACGAAATATTGTATTTCAAAATCATTGGAATCCTCACTATTAAAGGCACAGTTCACGATAATTCCCTGTTGCTGGCTCGCGGGGCTTTCCCGCCCCTCGGTCGATGTCACGTCAGACGAGTGTGGAAGCGATACAGATTGCAAATTCTCACCCTAGGATCTACGCATTATCAGCTGGTCGCCGAGTATTGAGGCGATGATTTCCTCTTTTTCATTTGTTCTCTGTTATTCTTTTTGCTGTTGCGATCCCTAACGTACTTTTCTCCCACAAGAGGCTACAAAAGGTGGGCTATTTTTACTGTTACTATGGTTTTTTGTTAACTTTGCTTATAAGTGAATGAATTTTTGCCTACCGTAGTCAGCCATACGCACCAGGACCCACACGTACGCGCTGACACACATTGTATAGCCCGTTCAAACGCCCCATTCTTCATTTTTCTGGTCTCACTCTCGTCCAGGCCCCTCTTCAACGGTTTTTCGAAGCCTTTTCTCCCTTAAAAAATACCGATTCACGCAGTTTCTTCGCCTCCATCTTATCTTCTATTTTTCGTCATAATCTGGATTACAGAAAATTATCGCGAACTGTGCCTTTAGGGTGTTCGGAGAGTAACTTCCATGTTCGCCTCTCTTGAAACCTGGGCATCGGTACTAATATTATTCAATGCTTCTGTGCCGCGCAGGTTTTTTAATGGTGGAATGTTTATTTGCCTGAAGTTTCGACAAGATCGTCGTTTTCAAAGGCCTGAAAGCGTATCGAAACTTCAGGGTGTTACCTATCACGTTTGACGTAGACCAGTTCTTAACTAGTTGCAACTCAGACCGCTGAACTTACAACTAAGTAAAAATTCCATTAAGGCACTTACGTCAATTCCACCAGCACCGAACGGTTGCTCAACTTTAGAGAACTATAGAGCAATTGAGACAGCCCGGTCAACCACGACTCTTTAATAGTATCGTGACATGACACGTATCAGTCTCTACTATCGGAGCTCGCATAGAGGGATGAAAGGCGAG